TGATTGATGTTTGGGTGATTGAAATGTGGGTGATTGAAATGCAATGAGATTAAAAGGTAGGAATTCACTTGCCACCTTTCCTATAATAAGAACAACACTGTAATTTCCTTAATTATTATGACTTGGAAGTCAATCAAAATTAAACCATTCTCAAGTGATGGGTTCCAGTTAGGAAGATAATATTTCATTATTTTTGAGCCCATAATTGATGACAATGTGATCATTCAGTAAGAAGACAAGTCATTTAAATCAAAATTTTGCTAGTTACCATTTAACCTATCGTGATTATTCGAGGCTTGATAGTCACCTAGGCTTGACATTTAAACTTATTTGATTGGATTTAGAAGATAACATGATTAATGATTAACATTTTTTTTTCTACACTCCAAGCCCAATTTTATCTATGTTTACCAAAACATTTCAAAACTTTGATCTGCCTCATGGGCACCCACCCAAATAACTCTTAAATGAACTATCAATTGATTAATTGAGTGTCCTAGCCTTAGGAAAAATAAAACATAAAGTTTCCTTGAGAAACGAAATAACCTTAGCTTAAACTTAGATGATTAATAAAACGATATGATAAGTTCAAAATGAACTCAAAATATTTCAATAAATCTTCAGAGTGATGCAAGGTCATGCTCCTAGCACTTTGAAATCTCTTGAATATTTTGAAGGGCAAATTGAAAATACTATATTTTGCTCTAAAATCATTCACCAAGAACTTCTGAAACTCAACAAAGTCATAACTTGGTGTTTGGTAGCTATACCTTCACCTATTCCTGTAATTTGAATTCCTCGCAAATATATATACATATTGCCAAAGTGAACCTTTTAGGTGGAGGAACGGAAAGAATTGATAGATACACTTTCAAGTTATTGCAGTTACCTCTTCATACCTCTTCTTTCTTGCTTGCTTGCTTAAGGTCACCCTGCATGTCAAAAAAAACAAAATTGAGAATTAAATGAGATAAAATTCACTATCACAACAGTTAAAACATGTGATAACTCAAAATTTAATCACAAAGAAAAAAAAATTGCAACCAAATTAAAACATCTCAATCGGATAATCGGGAATCCCTCGAAGGAGGTAACCTACAGTTGCTAACGAGATTTTCTCGGTCTAATGAAAGCATGGAACTCATTAAGTTGAGTTTAGTAAATTCATTGGGACTAAGTGAATCTAAAGAAAAATAGTGGTGTCAGAATGAGGGAACCATAAGATCCTAACCGCTGTCGCTCTAATCAACTTTAACATTTCCTATAATATTTAAATAAACATAACCTTATGAAACACTTGATTTGACATCATGACTTGACACATTAGAAAACTTAAACTCGCCATAACGAGGAGGTTGGAACTAGCATTGTGGGCAGCACTACCATCTTCAAAAATAAAACATGCTTATACCAACTAAATCATTATGTAGAATTAAAAAACTAGCCATAGGTTTAGACACCGTCTCTTAGATTCATCGTTGCCAACCAAATTACAATCAAAGAAAGTGCAAAACTTAGACTTGAAGAATTAAAAATTCTTAAGGGAAAATGACTAGAGGTACAACAACATTTGGAAGTTTACCAAGCGAGGATGGTAGAAGCTCATGACATCGGTCCGCCCGAGGACGTTCAAAGTGGGTGACCTGGTTCTTATTTTTAAAAGATCTATTCTTGCACGTCGGAGGATAGGTGGAAAATTTGAACCAACATGGGAGGGACCATTCATCGTAGAAAAGTTTTAATTGGGAGGAGCCTATCAGTTGGTGGATTTTCGAGGCAAAAGACATATGTTGTCGATCAATGAACGATATTTGAAGACATATTATAAAACTTGGCATTGCTTGAAATGAGATTTTGAGATTTTTATTGTTATGAGATTATTTATTTAGCCAAGCGTCCGCGAATGGGTCCAAAATTTTGTAATAAATCAACCACAATAAAATGAAAGCTTTTGAAGTGGCATACTTTCATGTTCTCCTTTCTGCTGTTAAGTTTGATATTCTACTAAACTATATATATATATGTAAGGAGCAGAGCTCCATTTCACTAAAGAAACCAAAACAAAATACAAAGAGGAAGAAAAGAAAACGGTGATAGGAGAGGGCCTTTATAAAGGAAGGCATCCTCTCAAGCCCACTACAGGTGTTGTCTGGTATAAGGGAGAGGAAATAGGTCACTGGATAAAAGAAAGTCCAGTGAGGGGGGAATCCTTATGCTCACTAAAGGTTCTTCTGTATAGAGACCCCTTCTAGCCAGTCAATTGGATGGTCTATTTCCTTCTCTGTGAATATGGGAGAACTTGATAGAGCAAAATTTAAGCAATTGATGAATACTAGCGATCCAGTTGATTAAGTTCCATGGGGTATCTGAATACCCATGGATAGTGTTAATAAGTTGCAAGGAGTCAGATTCAACCCAAGGAGTAGTTGCAAGGAGTCAGATTCAACCCATAACTGATCTAACAGGCAAGATCTGGCTAAGGTGATGACCCAAAAAATAGCTTGACATTCTGCTTCAAATGAGTCAAAAGCATTAACAGGAGATTGAAAATATAAGATACATTTCCTCTCATGGTTCCTGAAAACCCCACCAATGCTAGCAGACTGAGATTTGTGGCTGCCATCAATGTTAATTTTGGTCCAGCCAAACTTGGGGAGGGTCCAGCAAATTGTCACAACTTTGGAAATATGTGGCTTGAGAAAAGGACCATTCTCAAACTTTTTGAATTTAATCAGTTTTTGAATGAAAGCAATACAATTGAGACCCACCCTTATAGGATCAAGATGGGAGTTATCATGCTTTGCCTGGTTTCTAGCCATCCACACAAACCATGCCACAATATTGGGGATGTCCTGGAGATTAGATCCCCTCCAATCAGACCAGCTAGTATA